ACTACCTAGTCGCGTTTTAAATTTAGAATATTTCCAAACGCGTATCCAAATACAAAGTTTCGTGGGTTTAGTCTTTGAGTCTAGAAAGTTTTTAGGATCTCTACGGTTATAAAATTAAAATTAGTTAGAAATGCATGTCCTTGATATCGATTGTATTTAATTTATGTACAATATTCGAATAAAGAAAATAATTAACAACCATCTATATTACATAGCCAAAATAAATCAAAAAAATAAAAGAAATCCCTGTGCATTTTTTTGCCTTCGATTAAGTTGACTTTACATATTTGTCTCGTCAGGTTAGTTTTGGAAACTAATCGTAAGTTTATAACAAAGAATATTTCAGTTGCCGTATCAAATGCAACATGTAATATATCTTCTTACAATTGCGATGTTAATCTTCATTATGCTGCATATTTCACATAATATACATTTAATTAAAGATTTTGAAACGTGATCATTTTGTTTGTCAAACGCACTAAACATTTTTTATCACCATTTATTTTACAGCATCATGAAAAATTTGTATATATGCTCAAATGCATTAAACTACATTTTGGACTACTATGGTGCTTAAAAATAATTGCAATTAGTAATTTCTAATCCTTTTTATAGGAAAAATTGCAAAAATGTCACTTTTTATGTGCATATTTGCGAAAATGCTACTTATTGGTGTTCATTTGCAAAAATGCCACTAATTATAGATTTTTAAACTCTATATCTCAAAATTCTAAACACTAAAAAATATTTTGACCTAAACCCCTCTAAATCTTCATAACTAAACCCTAATAGAATATAGTTAATTCAAACATAAATAATATAAAGAAAAAACTAATTTTGAAAAAGTGGTATTTTTGTAAAGATTTCAAATGTGTGACATTTTTGTAAAGTGAAATTTTTTTGAAATTTCTCTTTTTTATACAACTTTACTCATACATGAAGATGGCTATAATCATGCCATCAATTCAAAGGAATAATCTTAAAGTATATTAAAATAATAGTAAAAAGAAAACAAATTAGAAGGGTAATTCAAACTTTTTATAATACAATATATCCTTACTTGACCATCAAATCTTAATCTTAATTTTTTTAATTATTAAGTGTATATATTTTAGTTATTACTATTTGTATTTTTAGGTTCATGTAATAGTGTTTTAGGTTAGTTTCTTCAGTCAAATACACAAAAAATAATAGCCTTAAAAGTTTCAAATAATCC